CACACCATTATACTGCCACCAATACAGATTTATGATTGAAATCATTAAACAAATAAATCGTTTGTTGAAATGGTACTAAGAAAACCTTATTTGATTGTATGTCTCTACATCCCTCCATATCTTTTCTTAAATAAATTGATAATTTGTTACAATCTCTCTAAATTCTTACTTATATCAATCTAAATCATTCCCCCCCCCCACTACATACAAACGTGTGTGCTCATTTGTTTTTTAAATAATTCAGGATAATGTAATTAATTATATTGAATCCAACTAACAAAAAAAGTAAGGGGTCTTATGTTTCAGATTTACAATTATTTTATTTTGACTCACATATTTCGATAATTTTTATATTTCAAATATTTTCAGATATACATTGAAGGATACTTGATGTAAGTTGTAAAAAATATGAAGTTGCTTCTCTATTTTGTGCATGTGTGTTTTTTTGGTGTTTCATCTTTTGTAAAGTTAACTAATTATACATGGTTATGATGATTTTGGGTATCGAATGATGGTTGTTTTGGTGGTTTGGGTATGTATTGATGATTGTGGTGATATGATGTATTATAATGATTGTTATTGATGATTGTAAGTTTTGTAGGTAAGTTTAAATTTTTCTGGAGATCTATTTTTAAAGGAAACTCTATCGAAATTTCTTAAAATTAGTAGAGACTAGCTTGATATTTTTGTGGTTGGATATGTGTTAATGATTGAGTATGTATTAATTATTGTGGTAATATGGTGAATTATGATAATTGTTATGTCTGATTGTAAGTTATTTTAGGTTGTAAAGAGTCTTTAGGTAATATAGAATTTTTTGAGTTTTAATCTAATTTTTCGTTACGCCGTGCCTTTAGGCACGGACAATTACTAGTGTTGTATATTAAATCAACGTACATGGTTAAGATATTTTTGGTCTAATAATATTTTTTATCTCATAATCACAAGAAATAAGTCAAGAAGTCGAATATTTTAAAGGTCTTTTATCTCTTGGGACCACCGCTCATAAATTTATCTCTTTACGTGGAGAAATGACTATGAATAAAGTTTAATATATGTCCGGTGAGTGAATAAGATAACGTATTGATGCGATCCATTGAGACAACTGAATTACCAAAAAAAAAAATGAATGACAATCATAAAGTGGTTAGAACATGGTCTAAAAAAATTAATAATAATTTGAAAAGCTTGCAATGCCATACTATTTGTGACACATACAATTGTCATCATGTCACAGAAGAGTTTATGGTTGTACTTGGACAAAATTTTCTTCAAGCCCAGCCCTTTCTAGAGTNCAAGCCCAACCCTTTCTAGAGTCCACACCCTTGACTAGCCCAATAAAATTCCTGTTTTTGTGTTTGTCTACGAAGCACGGATACGCATATGGATACAGAATATAAAATATAGGTATGATATGATACAAATATAGTAATACGATAAAATCTAAAAAAATAGAATACAAGTACGGTCAAGATAAAACTATAATAAAATATATTTAATATTTTTATTATTTTGAATTAACTTAATACTTATATATTTTGGTAATTATTTAATGCAATAAAGAAAATTAGTAATTCTCTTTAGTTTTAAGAAAATATATATCATATCACTATGATATATTCACAAAGTGAAATGATTAATTAAATAAATAAAAACTAATATTTATCAAGTCAAATTTATTTAGAAGTAATTTTTGCTCAGATTATAATGTAGTAGATTTATTTTGTGCTCTTTTAACATGTAATTGTAGATAATATTTAAAAAATATTTACGTGTTTTTGAAGTAGTATAAATTTTTGTTAATGTATTGTATGATATGTGAATTTGAAAGACAATGTTAAAAATTCAATTCAAAAGTTATATATGTTGCTTAAATACAAATTATCGGATACATAAGAGGTGTATCTAATACGTATCCTTAAGTATTCGACGAGTATCATATTCGATACGATATCCAATATAGGTACGTCGACCTTAACGAAGTATCCGTACTACATAGGTGTTTGTGTAATCTAGGTGTTTGTGTAATCTATTTTCACAGGTCTAATTCAATTCTAACAAAAGAAATCGTCCCGGCTTTAAAAAATTAATAATAAATTAAAATAAAAAATCTAACCCCCAAAACTAGCTGATAATCGACCCTTTATCACATTGTATCAAACCATGAAGCAGTATCTATTTACAATCGTGTATAACTAGAGTTGTGTTCATCGTATTCAATGGGTTCGAGTTAATTTGAGTTCATGTTAGTTAATTTATTTATTTTAATGGATTCTTTCATTTATCATCCGAATATCCTAAGGTTAAACTTAAACTCAGTAATTTGACTTTTATTGTTGACGAATTCAAATTCAGATCAAGTTTGGGCATATTTCATGAGTTGAACCCAAATCATCAAAAGATAGGTCAGATTTAACTTATGATTTTAGTCTAATCAAAAACTCAAGAGTTCAAGAAGAGTCAACGCAAGTGAAAAAACAATCATCAGAATAGTCATTACTTTATGATAGTACCCATACTCAATTGTAAATATCCTCCCCGATAAATTAGTATCTTGACGCTTACATCACCGCCTTAACTAGGACTATGCACCTATAAATTGTAAACCCCCTTATACATAAAGACAGATCTCACACACCTCACTTCGAACGTACTCTCTCTCTCTCCTACTACCTAGTACTTTCTTATTAATAAAATTTTTCGCCCATCGTTATTGTCTTTGGTGGTTAGGTTATCTAGAACTAATCATTCAATTTTTGTCTTTTATTATTAATTATTTTATACCACACACTCGACTGATTAAATTATGTATAATCAATTTTGTGCATCATTAATTGTGTTATTGGTACTACATAATTTATTAGTCATCTCAAGTTTCTCTCTCTAAGTAGTTTGAAGTTTTTGGGACCGGAACCTAGTGAATGCTTTTGTAGTCTACAAGGCCAAAAACTTTAACTCGCAGAAACAATGGTGTCCACAAGCGTTATCAAACATATTGAATGGCCTCTATCAAAGTTTCCAGGACTTTGGTGCTAGAAAAAGTTAGTTTCTTCGTCTAAGAACAATGAAGGGACCAAGACTTCTGTATTCAAAGTATATATTTTTAATATCACGTTGTGTTTTTTAAAAAGGTTCATGGACAACCAGAGCTTAGGCGGGATCCAAACCCACAAGAAAAGTCTACTAGTAGAGCCCAAACAGCGGAAAATTCGAGCCATAACCTAGTTCCCGCACCACACCATAGAACTGTCAGTGTGAATATACCTTAAAAAAGAACAATGTAAGTCGCCAAACCATCATTCCGGTGATATACTACCTTATTTAAAAAAATAGGTCCAATTTAATGATGTAACTGTCAATCCAAAGGTTTAATTGAGTGAACAGAGAATGCAACCGACGTGAACCATCTCCAGGCCACTTACCCTACCAAACAAATTGTCTCACTAATGAATTCTCATTTAACACTCCCTACGCTGTCCTCCAATGTTCTCTAAAGTCATAAAGATATATCATGAATGTATCTGTCTACCTGGCCAAACACAACATAGTTGAAAATCACGATTTTGAACCAGATGCTGTTATAATTTAATCGGCTCAAATTATAATTCAATGAAATTGATTTGGATCAAAACTTAAGGTATAAGAATTGAATCGTAACTTTAACCCGTTTAAATTTCACTCCCAATACTTAGAATGTTATAGGGATTTAATGAGAGGCATAATCCAATACAATTATTGAACGAAAAATATTATTCAACTCAAATGAAAGGAGACTATTGGATGAGTAGGTCCTATCAATTTTTTAAAATGAGATCCACTCGTCTAATGGTCCCCTAGATGTACATAGTATTGCTCTAAATAAATTAATTGAGAGTTTTGAAGTTGAGTAGAGCCCACTTTCAATTTAGTGACTGCATTCAATTAAATCTATATATTAAGTTCAATTAACATTTTCTCTCTTAATAATATGGGTAATTGAAAGAATTTCACTCTCAATATCTATATACTAAAACACATAATCTTGCTTACACAAAACACAACAATAGTTCAAATCATTTAGATTTGATGACTTATATTATGATTTAAATTTTAATCTTTTCACTACAAATGGTGTAGATCATTTAGATCCGAGGTCATGTGACCTGATCACTCCACCAACTAACAGTCACTCATTTAAAGTTTTTAAAGAATTAATTTTATCACCCAATTTTTTTTGTATTTTCTTATTTAACCTCATACGAATGGTGGGTTTGGGGAGGAGGGGGTATATGATAATGTATAGACTGATATCATTATTTGGATTAATCATAGTGGATTCAACAAAATTTTACGTTGATTGTCGGCTATTTAACACAACCTTTCTCCTTTATCTTGACTTGGGACAAGCAGTGTTGCACACAACACTGATAGAGTTAATATATAAATTGACTAAGGATAATCTGTGCCCGAAAACACGATAAAAAATAAATAATTTTGAGAGAGATGTTAGTGACCATAGAATGCGTTTATTTGAGACCATCGAATAAACTTATTGAAATATGTCTTATTTTTATATATGGTGGATCTGACAAAATTTTATGTTTGTTGTCAGCTACCTAACACAACTTTCCTTCTTTATCTTGGCTTGGGACAAATAGCGTTTCATACAACACTAACAGAGTTAATATATAAATTGACTACGGGTAACTCTGTGCATAAAGTTACGGTGTAATATGAATAATTTGAAGAAGGATATTAATGTCTTAAGTCTATTAGAGGGGCGTCGAATGAACTTATTAAAGCCTATTCCGTTTTATATTACTCATCGTAGATATGCATGACTAAATAATTTTAAAGAAGATAAGGGGAAGTAATTGTAATTTTCTCCTCCATGTTTTAATACGAAGGTGAAGAACACCATACATGTCCTCACAACTGCCTCACGAAAATATTGTGCAGCTAGAGCGGAGCAACTGTGAAGACCATCGTCTTTTCATCTCCGGTGACATAGTTGCCGGGAAATGGAGACGCCGCTGTTGAACGGTCCAACCAGCGAGCTCGAGCTTATCGGCGACGACGGAGACTACCGGCCGGTGAAAGGCTTCAAGGAATGGAAAGCAGTGTTTTGGATTGAGACAGTGAAGCTATGGAAAATCGGCGGCCCAATCGCGTTTAGCATACTTTGTCAGTACGGAACCAGCTCGGTTACGAGCATGTTCGCCGGCCATCTTGGAGAGATTGAGCTCTCTGCTATCTCCATTTCTGGATCTGTCATTGGTACATTCGCTTTTGGCTTCCTGGTAAGCCCAGGCCTATATGCATGTAGTTTTGTCTACAATGTGTTTGAGCCTTAACTGTGATACGTCTCGATTTCATCAAATAGATATATGAATCTCTTTGTTTGATCATAGTTTGTCTTAGGCTGTTTTCGGAGTCCGCGGAAACGCACATTCTCACTCTAAATTCCCACTCTATGATTTGGATTGCATCATATGTAACTTCACAGTACTAGCATGCAATATGTCTGTTGAACGTATCTATGTCCACACAAGTTTTCTTTTCCTTTGTTTTGTTCTGTGTAATCTTCATAACTGGCTTCTGAACTTTCAAGAGAGAGTTCCATAGGAATAGGAAAATAAAGAAAAAGAGAGAAAAGAGAAAGAAAAGAAGAAGATTCAATGGATTGATTTTTTTCTCAATAAATTGGGCTTGTCCAATATGAAGAGCTGACGTGAGAGGCTGAGTTTAAGATTTGGAAGTTTAAATTGAGAGAAATCGAAATCAATGAGACAAATTGATAAATCATAGCAAAGCTCTGGTACAAATAAAATGTTTACCCTACAGGCAGAAGTGTGCTTATGTTTGATTGCAAGAACATCTCTTATTTGTCTATGGAAAAAGGGAGAAGAAAGATATATGCGTGATGAATTAGTCAGAGTCTGATTTTTATTGTCTACTATATATTGCAGCTTGGCATGGGGAGTGCACTTGAGACGCTATGTGGCCAAGCTTTTGGAGCGGGGCAAGTTTACTTGCTTGGTGTTTATATGCAACGCTCATGGATAATCCTATGGGTAACCTGTATCATTCTCTTGCCAATATATATCTTTGCTACCCCAATCCTGAAGCTCCTTGGTCAAGAAGATGATATTGCTAATCTTTCTGGAATATATACCATCCAAACTATCCCTCAAATGTTTTCACTAGCTATTAATTTTCCTACTTCAAAGTTCCTTCAAGCCCAAAGCAAAGTTGCGGTGCCTGCTTGGATAGCATTTGTGGCTCTGATCATACATGTTGGGTTACTTTGGTTCTTCATTTATGCATTTGATTGGGGCACAACTGGTGCAGCTGTAGCATATGATATCACCAATTGGGGAATTGCGGTGGCTCAGGTCGTTTATGCTGTCGGTTGGTGTAAGGAGGGGTGGACAGGATTATCGTGGTCCGCATTCAGGGAGATATGGGCTTTTGTTAGGCTCTCCCTTGCCTCAGCTGTGATGTTGTGCCTAGAGTTGTGGTATATGATGAGTATAATTATCCTTACTGGCCATCTTGATAATGCAGTAATTGCAGTTGGGTCCCTTTCCATTTGGTGAGTTCATATTACTTGCGCAAATACTTAGTATAGCTTTGAAACTCTTGACGATTCCTCATCAATCTTTAAAACATTTTCTGAAGCTTTCAAGGTATTCATAGAATCAGGATTCTCATATTGATTACTGAATTGCCATAGGACTCATCATATGTCCAACTACAGAGTTTATAATGTCCACCAATCTAGCTGTGAAATGTTAATTTGCTAACAACATGAACTGTAGTCAGTATAAGCCGGTTAGCTCATGTGATAACTTGTGGAAAATCTTGCTCATTCTTTTGGTTCTGTTTTGCAGCTTGAACCTAAATGGCTTGGAAGCAATGCTGTTCATAGGAATAAATGCTGCTATAAGGTACAATGGTAAATGACCTAAATGCTCATTTTTTTGTACAGTGTCTCATGTTCGCCAGGCATACGAGTGATGCATGAAATATTTGACTTTATGAAACAAATTTACATGTCCATTTATTTGTTTTCCTTTTTTTCCCAAAATAATTGAGAGTCCTGGCAAATTGGTGTGATGTAGTATTTTTGTGCCGTTTGATTGCTGTTAAGGGTAAGGGTGCAGCAGGATCTGGTGTACTTAGATGATCAAATTCATGCTATGAGCTGCCTTGGAAAGAGTGTGAATGACTATGGGAAGTGTGAGGTTTCTATGGTCTAGCTTTTATATGTCGATGCATGTCTTGTGAAGCTGTTTTTTTTCTAGTCATTTTGATACATATATTTACATTACCTGTGACTTAATCTTCTTGTCATCTTTTATTTCTCAATGCTTTCCAATTTTGTTCCTCTTCAGTGTTCGAGTTTCCAATGAGCTTGGACTTGGCCGGCCAAGAGCAACCAAATACTCTGTCTACATCACTGTCTTCCAGTCCCTCCTCATTGGGGTTTTTTGCATGATTCTGGTTGTAGCAACTAGAAATTATTTCGCTGTAATTTTCACAAATAGCAAGGATTTGCAACAAGCTGTTGCTCACCTTGCATACCTTCTTGGTTTGACAATGGTTCTTAACAGTGTCCAGCCAGTGATATCAGGTATTGGGATGGCTTCACCAATGCATCTGTTTTGTGCAATGGATCCCTAGGGCAATATTTTCATTCCTCCCTCCTGTTGATGTCTTTTTGAGCCTTGTTTGCAGGTGTTGCTGTTGGAGGTGGATGGCAAGCTCTTGTTGCCTATATCAACCTGGGGAGTTATTACATTTTCGGGCTCCCCCTAGGATTCCTTCTTGGTTATGCAGCAAATCTTGGAGTGATGGTAAGTGCATATATTCTAGTTTGATAATCAAAAGGTACATGGAGGAAACCAATAGTAAGTAAACTA